CCCTATCATACGTCACCATACACATCCATATATATATATATATATATATATATATAATATAATGAGTTCTGACACGTCTCGTGAATCATCACATCGGACGGTCCAGATTCATTCTTGTTCCTCTGTTCCCGTCACTACAAAATATCTCTCTCGGGCCGTCACTTTTCCACAGTGCTGAGCTTTTTTCTTGCCTCTTCGATCATGGCTTCTCTCTTCTTTCTCCTTCTTCTTTCGCTCATTCTCTCTTCAGCCGAATCGAAGACGTTCTGGGCAGATGTGGAAGCCCTGAAAGAGTTCAAGAACTCGGTGGACGCTGACTCAGCGAGTCCTGGCTCGTGCCTCTCCTCCTGGGACTTCTCCGTCGATCCCTGTGACAGCTTGTTCGGCGAAAGATTCACCTGCGGGTTCCGCTGCGATGCTGTCGCTTCCGGGTCGGGTCGGGTCACGGAGCTCAGCCTCGACCAGGCGGGTTACTCCGGCTCCCTCTCCTCCGTATCCTTCAACCTTCCGTACCTCCAGACACTCGACCTCACCGGTAATTACTTCTCCGGTCAACTTCCTGACTCGCTCTCGAACCTGACCCAGCTCACTCGACTCGTCCTGTCGAGAAACTCGTTCTCCGGGTCCATACCCGGTTCGATCGGATCCATCTCGGGTCTCGAGGAGCTCCTCGTCGACAACAACCGCCTCGAGGGCCCAGTTCCGGCGAGTTTCAACGGCCTCTCCGTACTGAAACGGCTCGAAATCCAATTCAACAACCTCTCCGGCGAATTTCCCGATCTGGGTTTGCTCAAAAACCTCTACTACCTCGACGCGAGCGACAACAGCTTCTCGGGTCTGATCCCGTCTTCACTACCCGAATCTTTGGTCCAAGTCTCCTTGCGGAACAGCTTCATCGAAGGCACAATTCCAGAAAGCTTAAGGCAATTGACCTCTCTTCAAGTTCTCGACCTGAGCCACAACAGACTGAGCGGCTCTATCCCATCGTTCATCTTCACCCTCTCCTCTCTCCAACAGCTGACTCTCTCCTCCAACCGATTCACGTCCGTACAGTCACCGTACTATTCCCCATCAGGCCTACCGAGCGAGCTGATAGCTGTGGATCTCAGCAGCAACGATATCCAAGGGACACTGCCTCTGTTCATGGGTCTTTTACCAAAGCTCTCTGCTTTATCACTAGAAAACAACAAATTCTCGGGAATGATTCCGACCCAGTACGTGTGGAAAACGGTCTCGCCCGGATCCGATCTCGCCGCGTTCGAGAGGCTTCTCCTGGGAGGGAATTTCCTTTTCGGAGCCATTCCGGGTCCGTTAATGGAGCTTAAACCAGGGTCGGCCAATGTACAGCTCGCCGGTAACTGCTTGTTCTGGTGTCCCTCCACCTTTTTCTTCTGCCAAGGCCGCGATCAGAGGCCTTTAGCGGAGTGCAGAAAGTTTGGAGGTGTAAGCCCTTGACTAATTGTGATTAATTTCGTCATTAGTAGTAATCAGCCCTTTTTTGAATCTGTCTTTTCGAATATGTGATGATGGGTTGTGTCGTGTTTAACATGTTTTTTTGTGCCTTCCTTGAGTGTCGCATGTAGAATCGCTTAGCCATCTAATTCCTCGAAAGGAATGTCGCGATTAATCAATAATAATTATTCGGGTTTTTTCTTACTCTTCTCCTTAATCCGTGATTGGGATTTTGTCCTGTTTTGATCCGGAGCTTCTTTTGGATTCCGTACGAGATTCCAATCTTGTCTCTTTTGTTTATTTTTGGTTCTCTTCCTTGCCGTGTGTTGTGTTTCTGTCGCTGCAAGGCTATAGCGAAAAACAGAGTAAATGGCGATACGAACGAGAAATATGACGTTCGACTGTCGTGGTGTCATGTTGTGTACACGCTCCACCTTGCATTGTCGGGCCTTTGGGCCCAATTTTCAATAACGGGGGCCCAACGTCTGTCCCAATCGAATCATAGGGAGATAGGACAGGCTTGCACAATTCATCATTTCTCTGTTTTAATATATATATATATATATGTATATGTGTGTGTATATATATCTTTTGTACCAAGTAGAAATTGAGGCCCATATGCCAACATTGAGAATTTTGTTTGAGGCCCAACTCAAACTGAGGCCCATTAACATGCAAAAAAATGGCCATTTTCTTTCAAAAGCGAAGTTAAAATCCGTAAGCGCCGTCAGACCCCGTCTGCTGACGTGGCAATTTCTGCTTGAGGGTGGTGCAGCCTTTGCATCTCTCTCAAAAACTTCAAATAAATGTTGCGAAGAATCAAGTTCCCCCCACATGTGTTATTACACGACGATTGTCTGGGTGGGTCCCCCCGAGCATTCATTTTTTTAATATCGAAATTGTTTGCTTGTGATGTTTGTGACATAACATTTATTGCCATCATTTTTATGGTTGAACTATATATATATATATACACACATATATTAAGAACAATTTTAAATCATTATGAATCTCTCTCTAGTCGGCAAAGACGTAATCATGTTTGTACATATGCATATATGATGAAAATAATAAAGAAAAAATTCGGTATGATGATTCCAATTCAAGTGTCAATAAATCTCACAGAAGGTCAAAAAATATTCAAGAAAAAACGGGGGTCATTGGCCGTCCAAGAAAGCTTAAATCTATTTAAATAATCGGGTATGGTTTAATATAATAATTGTTTGGGATTAGAAAATGCCATGGAATGGAAAAGAAAGAGAGAGAGAGAGAGAAGAAGAAGCCGTTGAAAAGTTTTGACTGGTCGGCGGCTCACGTTAGAACGCATGTGAAGGAGCAAAAAGCCAACGTGCGCCACATCATCCCTCCGGCTCGGCGCATTTCGTAATTACGTATTCTCTCAACTTAACTTTTTTTTGCCACAATACTAAACATAAATTACTTTATTTTTAGACGAAAATACCCTTTCGACTTGCTTAAATAAGAAAATTAGGGAAAATGACAGTTTTACGTTTATTATATACATATATAAATAACCTCCTTCATCAATATATATATATATATATATATAAAACCTTGACGGATGAGAAATGAGAGTGAGAGGGGGGAATCATTTGTCAGTGATGAGTTACTTACTACAAAGGGACAAAAGTTGGCACGTCTTTTCCCTTCTTCGGCTTCTGTTTCACTTTTGACCCTTTTTTACATGCTTTTGTTTTGTCCATTGTCCATCAACGAGGGGTAATCTCGTCATTTCATCCACTTTCATCACTCCGTTTAATAACAAATCCGGGATACTTAACTTTTCTTAATAAATAAATAAATAAAGGAAGAAAAAAGGGGGTTTTAAAAACCACAGAGCGGGAAGAAGGCTTTTCCTTTATGCAAAAAAAAAAAAAAAAGGTTTTTCCATAATGGGTGGCGATTAACGCGGCCGGGGCGGATTCCGCAATTGCAGTCAATAGCGATGGGCAAAAGGGGAAATATCACAGAGGTTTTTCTGAAATTTTAAAGGAAAAAAAAAGAAAGAGAAACGGATAAAATGAGATGGCGGGGCGAATTCAGACAGCGGAAAGATTTTATTTTATTTTTACAAACGTGTTTCCGTATTAATGAATAGTAAGTACAGTTTCTGTAAGTCCACTGTATCTTCTATAAACGTATACGCGTAGAATTTAAAGGGGAATCTATTTATAAAATGTATATATAGATAGATACTTTCGCCGGTTGGGTAATTTGGGAAAAATATATTCTGTGAAAGGGCAGAAGAAGAAGGGGGAAAAAAGGGAGCTTTTAGAAGAGGGGAGAAGGAGAGGGAAGGCTCCATCTTCAATGCTTTACCAAACTCACCGCCACCCTTTTGTCTTATTTCATTCTCACCACCACCACTCTCCTCTCTCTGCCACCGTCCCCTCTCCCCTTGTTTTCTCCTCCCTCCTCTCTCAGGTATTTTGGTATTGTATGTGGGATTCGAAGTTTCATGGAGAAAAATTATTAGGGGGGTGGGGGGGTTGAAATTCCTGTGTGCGTCTAGTGGCTCAGTCTTTTTGTGTCGGTCGTTTTCCAAATTGGGTTTCTGGGTTCGTGATAATTTCCTTTTGGAATATGGAAAAAGGAACGTTTTTTTGGCATTTCGTGTTAGATTATTCAACGGGTTTGGAGAAAAAATGATTTTTTTGGGTGGGTTTGATTCTTTTTTTTTTATGGGTTTGATAGGAGATGGAACGCGTTGAAGGAGCGTTGAAGAGCAGTGTTAGGAGAGAGATAGCCATGAGACTCACTCCGCCGGCGTTCATCGACGACTTGCTCGCCGTCAATTCCCAGAACGGCGTTTCCCCCGAAGATTTCTCCGTCGACGACTTGCTTGACTTTTCAAACGACGACATTTTCGCCGAGGAAGATTCCGAACCCAGAGACCGACAGGAGAGATTCTCTGTTTCCTCGGAGGACCCTCAGGATGACGAAAATACCCTTTTCCGGAGAACCGATTTCTCCGCCGCCGGCTATTTTGAGCCCATCCCCTCAGGCGAACTCTCCGTTCCGGTAAATTTCGATTTTATGTGAGAAAAAATTTAAACTTTTTGACGGGCTTCTTAGATATTCGGGAAATGTTCTTCCTAATATTTTGCTCCCTTTCTCTGGTCAGGCGGACGACGTGGCGAGCTTAGAATGGCTATCACATTTCGTAGAGGACTCCTTCTCGGAATATTCGGCTCCGGACCTCACCAGAACGCCGAAGGAGAAGCCGACATGGTTAACCGGCGACCGGAAACACCCGGTGACTCCGGTGAACGAGGACTCATGCTTCAAACCCGCTGTACCGGCCAAAGCCCGAAGCAAACGGACCCGGACCGGTGGTCAGGTATGGTCGCCATCGCTCTCCGACTCGTCGTCGAGTTCAACATCGTCGTCGTCGAGCCACTGGGAGAGACCGCCGGTGGCAAAAAGGCAGAAGGGGGAGGGAGGGCAGCAGCGGAGGTGTAGCCACTGTGGAGCCCAGAAGACGCCGCAGTGGCGAGCGGGACCGCTGGGGGCGAAGACGCTATGCAACGCGTGCGGCGTGAGGTACAAGTCGGGTCGGTTATTGCCCGAGTACAGACCCGCTTGTAGCCCCACCTTCTCGAGCGAGCTCCATTCGAACCACCACAGGAAAGTCATCGAGATGCGTCGGAAGAAGGAGACGGTGGTGGGTTTTTGAACGATTCGTTTAGCCGAAATTATTAAACACCATCTGTCTTTTGAAGCCCCATTTAGCTTTTGTATATTATTTTAGGTTTACTTAGTCAGTGGCACTAGGAGGTTCTCAGCAACTGATTAGTAGCAGCGGTAGCAGGCTTTCGACTCAATACAATATTGCAATATTTGAATTCGAATATATTTGGTTGGTTTGCGTTATAACTTATAATATAGAGTTTGTGTGGTGGGTATGGAGTGAAAATTTCGAAACAGTTGTCCTTGTACGTTGCGAATGAGTGGACCAAACCATTATGTCATGTAAAAAATAAAAGAGACATAGGGGGGTAATGGGACGTTTAGGGGTTTACGTTTCGCCTAACGAGAAGAAGGGTCGTTTCACGACATCATCTTATACCAAATTTGTTCTTTCCTAAGATGAAATAATTCCAGCTATAAAGCAACAAAAAAAAAAAACTATACTGTTACAACAGCTTCTTCCTTTCGACAGACGACCACCAAAAAGAAAATAATTAAATAGGGACTATGGTTAGGGATGCCAAAAACTACAAGAAGCACCCTTTTTGCAGCGCCCATTTTCATAGAATTTACAGATTCTGAGCCCTCTGGGCGGATGAGAAGCATGACCACTGCTGCTGTACGGCCACTGCCTATTAGTATGACTGTAGCCACTGCTTCCATGGTTCCACCATTGTCTTTCCCGGTCTCTATGCCCGGTCGTCCCCCTCTCTCTCTCATTCCTCTGCTGCTGCTGCTGTCCATTATTCCCACGGGCTGTGCCTTCATTACCTGACTTGTGGCTCGGTTCTGTTTTTGATATGTCATCCAGTGCTCCCCCTTCCACTGTGGCTTCTGATCCTAATCTGAGAGCCGTTGTCGTTAGAGTCAGGTCATGACTGATTGAAGCCGGCGGCACCGGTTGTGTGAAAAGTGGAAGCTCCAGACCGGTGGTGGTTTCACAGTGGATGCTGACCGGAGGAGCATCCATAGCTTTTGAGCTCTCCTTTGGATCCGTTCCTGATGTATAGACATTCTGACTGTCGAGAACGTCCACCTCAGCCCCGTTGCTCATGCACAACTCGGTTGCAAGCGACATTCTTGCCACAGGGTGGAAGAAGTCTTTTTCAGGCCCTTTCGTCAAGTCATCGTCATCATCATCATCACAATGGAACGTTGATGTAGGAGAAGAGGGCAAACCGTTCTGTTCCATGGCTTCGACTTCTGCCAAGAGATCCGAAACTGATTCATCGCACTCATCTGGATCAGCCACAATGGCTGGCCATCCAGATGAATGGTGAGCCACTTGGGTGTTGTCTGAAGTCTGAGTAGCAATAACATGTTCGGTCGACAACTCAGCTGGCTTTACCACCAGTGCAGGTGGCATAACAGCACCGTTTTGCTGAGGTACTTCTGGAAGTTGTGTTCCACTGACCACTATACTTGAAGGGGTAGCGGCCGTGGTGGCGGTGCTCCATGTGACACCAGATGGTCCCTTGACGAGAACACATGAAGACAAGGACTGTATTGTCTCAGCAGCCTGAGTTTCCAAGTCTTCAGGGCTTGACTTTGGTGTGGGACTGGAAAAATCCAGGAAATGAATCTCCTGATTCAGGTTTGGGGTATGAACGGAGCCATTCAAGGAAACAGAAGCAGCATGTGCACCGTCGTCCTTGATGTTCTTAACGAAGCTATGGCTACCACCTGTTTCCACAGCATTGCATACATCTCTTACTGGGATTTCTCTTACCTCATGTGAAACAGCATTTTCAAGATCCATAGATGATGATGGTGGACAAGTAGCAATAGCATGAGGCGGGCAATGAGAATTACCACTCGCTAATTTTCCAACGCCAGATGGAAGACTCTCCTTTTGTCTCTCGTTTTGAATGGTAACAGCCACAGGCACGACATAAGAGGAAGAACATGAGCTTGCACTAGTGTTGTTAGCAGTAGGGTTCTCTCGATGATTGTTGTCAACTCCTTTATCAGAGCTGGCAGTCACATCTAGGCCTGATTCAACAGCCAGTTTCAGTTCCTGGGATGGCATAGAGGCACTTAACAAAGTATTCGCTTTATTGGACCGTCCAGCCAGTGCATCAGTCAGAAGTACGGAGTCATCTTGTTTTTCATGACTTCTCCATATCCTAAGATATGGAGGGAAATGCCCACTAGATTTCCATCTGCGAAGCTGTGCCATAGAAAACGGCCCCTGGGTTTTCCCAGTTGGATCTTGATAGTGCCATACTTCACTCTCCTCCTCTTCTTGAACCGTTTCCTGCGCCAAATGAATAATAATATGAGGTGGTGGGTGATAACCACATGGGAAGTTGAGATCTAATAAATGCCTGCGAATTCCTAACCAAACAGGAGTGCGGCTCAAACCTGGATGTCTGATGAGTTTTGGACATTGGAACTACCATCCCTATCAGCATAAAACGTTGTGCAGACATTCTTGCTTCTCAAAAAGGCTGCAGCAAAATTTCTCTGTGCACTATTTCCTAAGTTGTTCAGGATATCACCCTTATTCTGTGGGTTTTTACTTGATGTCTTTATTTGATTATCTGTACCAAAAAAGGTAAAAAAAATATTGTAAAGAACATTAAACAACCAAAGATTTTCAAAAAAGAAAGAAACAAGAATAGACTTTGCATAAGCAGTTGGCACGTGAGACCTTGTTTTATTGTGCCCAACTCTGCATCTTCCGCTGATGCATGACAAGGATTCATACTCGGATCTGTATGTACTTCTGAGATTTCCTGCATACGTCGCCGACGTTCCTCAGGAGACTTCAGAAGCTCTAGTTTTTCGATGCATTCCCTAAGCGTGCATGATAGTTAAGGGGTAGCTGGTAAATTCCAACTGTTGATATTTCCAAGCAATCGACTTCAAAACTAATCCTCATGTCATAAAAAGAAAGAACCAGATTGAATATCAACATTGTATAGTCAGGATAGAATGTTTGACTGATACTTAAACTTTTATGCCCAAATATTAGAAGCAACACATGCATCTCTCAAGGGAATGAAGGGTTCCGTGAGCAACCTGTATGACGTTCTATGATAACCAATATTTGAGAAAAAAATGGGGCAATAAAATCAAGCACAGCAACATAAAAAAGGATATTCCTTTCTATAGCCATTCTCGCTGGCCCGATCACGCAGATAATTGAGCTTTAATATCTCAGCTTCTAGTGCCTGCATAGGGAAAACATCAATGAGCAGCATAATAGAGGATAGCCATCCATGGGTGTCGTATACACATTGTAACATTATCAGCTTTCGTAATTATGGAACAAGATCCTACCTCACTCACTCTCATGGATTGAAGCGTCGCTGCCTTCTCCAAGATCTCGGCCTAACAACAGAAAAAACACTGCTTTTAAACTTCTAAATGCAATCTGTAAGGTCAGGAGAGGAAGAGAATGTCATGAATTGTTACCACAATAAACCGTTTATTTAGGCCACATTTTATGCTCTGACGCAATCGTTTGCACTCATCCTGAAAAAATAGCAATAAAAGACATAAAAGGTTATAAAGGAAACATCATTGTAGACTATTCTTATGTTACCATAGTTACCATATTACCATACTGGTTATTTATGCTAAATTGTGAACAGGTAAAAAAATATGTGCTTCAGACAGTGCTATAATCACCTCTGTGATGTCCTGATCTGATAATTGATCAATCGAGATGACTTCTCTCTTGTCTAAATTCAGTATTTCCAGCATAACATCTGTAGTTCTTGTACCAATTTGGTAGGATTCCGTCGCCTTGCATGTACCTGTCGATAAATTACCATTAATTAGAATATCATTTAATGTACACTTTTAGGATGATAAACAACTTTCCATTTTCATTTCTTTTTCTGCCTTCAAAGAGCACCGACATGGTCACTGAACAAACAAATACCTACAACTTGGACGAGCCTGTGAATGTCCAGCTTCTGATCGTTGCCAGAAACCCTAATTCTCACAATTGTGCCTACCACCTTCTCATGAACTTTGTCGATGTCATCAAGAAGAGTCTCTAAAAATTTACGTCTCAAATAGATCAAGTTGATATTGTGAACATCAATGGCAGCATATTCGTCCTTGTTTGCATTTCGTACTCCATCACCAGCTTTTTTACGCGTCTTCCGCCTTTGATCACTCCTTGTCGTTTCCTCAACGCCATCCTCTACCATTTGGTGAGGAATTGCATGAGTAGCTTCTCCATTCATGGTTTTTGCATTTGGCGAATTCTCTTGTATAAGGAAATGAAACTCAAGAAGTTTTAGCATTTCAAAGTGACCCACTCGTTGTTTCCCAAACAATCTCATGAGCATCGAATCACAGAGAACATGAGATTTTTCACGAGGATCCCGGAGGTTTTTCCTCTTTATGTAGTCAAGCAGAAGGGTTTGCACGTCAAACTGAGAGAGCACTGATATATCGCCGTTCTTCATATACGCCACAAACTCTAAGAGTTCTTTTGTTGCCCACTCTGTAGCCCTAGGAAGCTTCTCTTGGTTATCACCCGAGTTTTTAGTATTCATGTTGAGTAAGGTAGGCGAATCACTAGTCCTTCTTCTTTTGGTCCCATCCACTGCCACATCTACGCATGTATTTTCTGAAGAATGAACTCTATTATAGCTGTGATCACAAAGCTCATTTCCTAACTCCACCTTGGGAGCAACACTAGAAACCTCCTTCCATGGGGTCGTGGCTTTGGTAAGCTCGGAAAGAGTTAGAGACAGCTTTTCCTTCAAACAAAGCCAATATACCTTGAATAGATACTCCCAACTAGTTTTGTCATCAAAATCCACTTTAACCTACATATGCAACACAAAACCAACAAAATAATTATGAAAGTGGCACCTTCATTAAAGTTAACTGAGGTTTCACTGTCGTTGAATAAACATTGCATGTTTAGGTCCAACCAAACCAAGGTAGTTCTTGACTACAGACAATCCTAACTAAAATGGCAAAAAATATACTGGTTGAATCGTCTTACCGTTTCTTTATCGCTTTGAGCAACATTCTCAATCAGCATTATGGTCTTCATGCATATTGCACAAAGGCCCATATTTCCTCTCACACTCACGTAGTTGGCATCTTTAATGCATCGCTTGCAAACAGAATATGTACACGTATAACACATATAACTGGAAGCCTTCTGACATGTACTGCATATGTGCCAACCTGAAATGCGAGAACTAAGTCAATTGAAGAACAATATTTCTAAGGATGTTCACATTATCACAAGGCTGATTTCAAAGGCAGGATGTCAAACTAAGCATTCATAAGACTGCCAATAGGAAAGACACTACGAGTAACGTCGTAGGCTGCCACATACCGCAGTTCCATTTAGCCTTTGTTTGAAAGAATGCTTCATCACGCTTAATGCAAGCTGGATGGTATGCCTTAGGGCAGTTCCTGCAAAGGAACATAAACAAACCATCAAAACCGATAAATGACACAGATCTCATTCATAAAAGCTCATGTCAATAACCAGTGATTTACCTTTCCCATCTTAAGCAAATGCAACTCTAACGTATGGAATCGTCAACACATGATTAATAATTAAAGTTGGTTTGAGAAACAAAAACCCGTTACAGACTTACAGTGCCATGAACAGAAAACAAAGACAAGTTGGGCGGGTTGTAAATGCATCTATATAGTTGAACAAGGATTAACCGAGAAGGCAGACCAAATAGTAAGCTTTGGGTTGGACATCTCATGTTAGACAAGTGAAGCATTACCATGTTGCACTCCTAGTGGAAACATACGCACGGTTTCTGTTTTCCCTCCCTAGCTGTATTATCTCTAACATTTCACGAGTGCCAAACCTCTAAGAAGACAGACCTACGACTAGGCTTAATTTCAAACATTTCACGAGGACTAATTGAGCTCTATTTCGTTATAATACTACTCAACCACAGCTAAGGTTCTATTATCTTTCCCTGTAAGGTCAGGAGAGG